CCACCACAAGTTTGACAGTGGGAGTCCCCGCTGTCAGCCCCATGATCCTGCTCTCAACCCCAGGCCCCGGCTCTCAGCCCCGGGTGGCCAATAGTGGAAAATGGCAGAAAAGTAATAATGGACGTTATTACTGCAAATAATTACTTTTCCACAATTTTCCATGGCTTGTCTGCAAGTCAGCTGCAATTTTTTGACAATCATCCCACAGTTCAAGTAGGGCCTTAGTAATGGCATTTGATTTAGTTAATTCTTAAACAGGGCAGGGTAAACACTTTGCCGTGAATTGTTTTTCAGCCGGAGCTGGCCTTTTTCTGTTTGGAAGTGAGTCATGAGAAGACTTGGATTTTTACAAATTTATTTATTATCATTATTACAGTTCTTCCTATGAGCCCCAGCTGAGACTGGGGGCCTATGGTTTTAGGTACTGTACGAACATACAGCTAGAGCCAGCCTCTGCTGTGAGAGCTGACAGTCTAAACAGACAACGGGTGGAGAAAGGATGGGGAACCTAGACATGGAGAGAGTAAGTGATGGGCTGACTTTGGGCAAATCACTTCACCTCTCTGTGCATCAGTTTCCCCAGCTGTGTAATAGGGAAAAAATGCCGACCTCTTTTGTAAAGTGCTTTGATATCTGCTGATGGAAAGCTGTTGCAGAGCTGGGACATGAAGCCAGGTCTCCTGAGTTTCAGTCCAGCGCCTTATCCGCAAGAACATGCTGCTTCTCAAATGTGTGTGTGTTTATGGAACACTTTGTGTGAACATCTCTTGGACTAGAGGCCATTTGCATACTAGGTTTGTTATGTACGTTCACTATTTTCAATCATCCCTATGTGACTGGTCCTATGCAGACAGCAGCCCTAACAGCAGCATCTGACAGCAAAGCTTTGCCCTCACATCTGTGTTTGCTAGCGGGGGCAGGTCACAGTAAACTGCTGTTTGGAGAGAGTTTTTTATTGCCAAAATGAGTGGGAAAAGCAGGAAGGCAGAGCGACTCCCCGTGTGTCAAGAGAATGAGGTGCAGCTTTATGCAGTGAGATTGGAGTATCTAGAAGAGCATGTTGATCTGCAGAGAAACGTGCACATCATGGTTTTTCTGACAGAGAAGATGATGGCACTAGTGTAATTCCCTGTGAGAAGAGGGAGGAGTAGGAGGGCTCTAACAGCCAAGAACAAGACATGGTGAAGGAGAGAGAATTTTTGACCACTAATCACATGATCCATCCATCCAGTCAGTCGATAATTGGACATACTTAGCTGTGGACAAGTTTTCATGAGTGTTCAGTACCTAGAGGGAAAGCAGCATAACTGACATCGATAAGCGCCCTAGATTTACTAAAATAACAAAATACACAAACATTCAGAAGAGGGGGGAAAACAGGTACTCAATAAGAAGTTGAACAAGTAACATTCCTGTGACGCTTTCCAAGGATGCCCAGAGTTGTGAGGCCCCTTGCTGCCGCCTGCCCTTGCTGTGAGGAAACATTGTCTGGGCCTGCTGGGGATCAGCTCCCCAACTCCATTGACCACAAGCCCTTCCCAGTAGGCCGTGCAAGCCCTGCTGTCTCTCTCCAAGTGAGCAATTGGCACGTTCCAGCTCTCAGGCCCTCTGAACATCTTCCTGGAGTGTCCACCTCTGGTCCCCTGGACACGAACAGTGTTCACAGATTGGGGGTACTGTTCCTTTGGAAGCAGCCAGCTTATCAGTTTCACCTCAGATCCCCGCTCCACTTAATACCCAGCACTGACACATGTTTATAGTCAAATAAAGTAAAAGTTTATTTAACACAGCATAGAGATGCAAGTGATGGCAAGTAGAAATATTGGAAACAGATGATTATATAGAAAACAAAATCATAACATGCATTCTAGACTTAATTAACAAAATACTCTGATGTCTTGTAGAGTATTGCTTACTCAAAATCTTTACAGAATTTCACAGCCACGCTGGCTGTGACCCTTTCATAAGACAAACACACTGTTAGCTTGCTTCCTTCATGAAAGAGTCTCTGTGTTTCCTTATATCCCCCAGATATCCCCTAACAATCCTCTGTCATTATTCAGAAACAGGACACCCTCTGCTGTTGTATCCTGTGAATTTCCTCTCTGGCAGTTTTCATAATCTTTTATTCTGCTTGGGGCTCAGTATGAAAATAGATCCAAAATTGCCATGAACTGTATGCCTGATGACACACATATGACCAGTCAGGGAAATAGGCATCTGGTACCTCTTGCCTGAAAGGAACATGTCCGAGTTACATCACCGCCTGGTAACCTGCCTTAACTTTAAGACCTTAGGAACACAGATACTTAACTGCTTAAATATGATCTGTATACACATTTTGCAGTGATCATGTTAACCAGTGGGCTAGTGGCTCTCAGTAGAGACCTCACATGCTCCCTATCGGGGAACTATTTTGCTACATCTGACCCAGGAATTCCTGTAAAAAACCCTATGCACTCCTGTGGCCTCTGCCAGCTGGCATGCAGAGGTCTCTGGGTCACAAGTCCCTTAATTCAGAATACTCATTTCAGCTCCACTGACTGTATCATAAACTAAACACAACAAAATAATTCCTCTGAAGACTGCTTTGGACTGGCTTTTATTAAAACTTGTCAGCTTATTGGAACTGCCCATTTAACTGATAACAAACCTACATCACTATAAACCCTACTCACTGATCCAGAGTTAAGAACCCCCTTGTGCCGTAAAGCTGGGGAACTTACTGTGTATTCAGTTTGGTTGTTTGTAGGCTTTTTCGTTGACCAGAGGCTAGGATCCCAGTCCTACTTGTGGGCTCTAGCAGTTTCTGTCCTTCACTTCCTGTTTTCTAAGATCAGCTGCACTCCTTTCTCTTCCCCAGTGCTAAGTTACAGGATTTGCCATCCGAGAGGTGGAGTCTGGCTCTCTGGATTTTATCTTTCCAGGAAGTGGATTTTTGAGTGGAGAAGTTGGTCCAGTAAAAGATGTTACCTCACTGACCTCACATCTCTAATATCCTGGGACCAACATGGCTACAACACTGCATACAATAATGGTTCCCAAAGGCACTTTGTTATTGCTTGCATTGAAAGGGGAATGAGGAATTAGATTAATAATATTTAGCTTTTACTGAATACTTTCCATCCAGAGGTCTCGAAGCGCCTATCATATTGACATTCAGCGGGACGTGTGCTCCTAAATCACTTCAGTGCTTTTGAAAATAAGCTCCAGCACTCTATTCTATTAGATTTTTATAGCAAGCGTATCACTGCCGTACAGTATCTGAGTACCTTCCAGTAGTGCATTAAGCATCACCATCCCCATGGTATAGAAGGGAAAAACTGAGACAAAAGGTGGGATTTTGCAGCTATGATGTGGAGGTGCCAAGGTAGCTTAAAGCTGTTTCAGGAGCCAGAGTGGCCCCTGGCATAAATCAGAGTAGCTCTAATTTATGGCAGCAGCACAGAAATCTCACCAACAGAACAGTTATGAGACTTGCTAAGGTTACACAGCAGGTCATTGTCAGAGTGCAGGTCACTTTACTCCCAGTCCAGTGCTCTAGCCACTGGACCTCACTGCTGCCACATATGTTCTTCTAGTTATTAACCATTTTACTACATTGTGCGGAGCCTTTTTTAAAAATCAGCATCACATTAGCTATCCTGCAATCGTCTGGTACACAGGCTGATTTAAAGTAAACCACAGTTAGTAGTTCTTCAATTTCATATTTGAGTTCCTTCAGAACTCTTGGTTGAATGCCCTCTGGTCCTGGTGACTTATTACTGTTTATCAATTTGTTCTGACACCTCTTCTACTGACACCTCAATCAACAGTTCCTCAGATTTGTCACCTAAAAAGAACGGCTCAGATGTCGGGATCTGCCCCACATCCTCTTCAGTGAAAACCACTGCAAAAATTAATTTAGCTTCTCTGCAATGGCCTTGTCATCTCTAAGTGCTCCTTTAGCAACACGATCATCCAGTGGGTCCAATCACTGTTTGGCAGGCTTTCTGATGTATTTTTTTGCTGTTAGAATTTGAAGAGCAACTAGCTAAGTACACAAAAACTTGCTTGGTCTGTTATATTATACATTTACACTTGACTTGCCTGAGTTTATGCTTTTTTCTATTTTCCTCACTAGGACTTAACTTCCAATTTTAAAGGATGCCTTTTAGCCTCTAACCATCTCTTTTACTCAGCTGCTTAAGCATGGTGGAATTTTTTTGGTCCTTTTACTGCCTCAATTATGGTGCTTTTAAATAGTCTCCATGCAGTTTGCAGGCATTTCACTCTTGTAACTGTTCCTTTTAATTTCCGTCTAACTAGCTTCCTCATTTTTGTATAGTTCCCTGTTTTGAGGTTAAATGCTATTGTGGTGGGTTACTTTGACACTTCTCCCCCTCCAAGAATGTTATATTTAATTACATTATGGTCGCTATTACTGAGACGCTCAGCTATAATTTACCTCTTGGCCATACCCTGTGCTCCACTTAGGATTAAAATCAAGAATTGCCTCTCCCATGGAGGGTTCCAGGACAAGCTGCACCAAGAAGCAGTCATTTAATGTGTCTAAAAATTTTACCTCTGTATCCCTTTTTGAGGTGACATGTACCCAGTCAATATGAGGACAGTTGAAATCCGCCATTATTATTGGGTTTTCTGTCTTCATATCCTCTCTAAACACCTTCAAAGTCACCATCACCTTCCTGATCAGGGGGTGGGTAGTATATTCCTACTGCTATACTGATTATTCAAACATAAATTTCTATCCACAGAGATTCTATGGTTCAGTTTAATTCATTTTAGATTTTTACTCTACTTGACTATGCTGTCTTTCACATATAGTGCCATTCCCCCACCAGCTCTGTCATTCCTATATATTTTGTACCCTTGTATTACCGCAAACCCACTGATTATCTTCATTCCACCAAGTTCCACCTATTATATCAATATTGTCATTTAAGGCCAGGCACTCTAGTTCACCCATCTTAGTATTTAAACAGCTAGCATTCATCTGATGAAACATAGGAAAGCCCTTTCTTCATATCTCCATGTGGCATCTGAATGTCGAGCCTTTCATCTGCTCTTTATAATGCGCATCAAATCTCTCATTCTGAGCCACGGTGAAGTAATTTTTCCAGTCTCCTGAAATCCCTGGTGGGAAGAAAAAAAAATGAATGACTAGTTTATTCTCCCCTTCCGGGCTCCTGCCCCACTCTGAGGTTGTTTCTGTTATCTTCTTTCCCAAAGATACTCCAAAAGGCCCTAGCATAGTCCTGTGATCCTAGTGCTGTTCAGACAGAATTCTAAGTCAGGTTTTCAGTGTTCTTTTTGCCTAGATGCTTAACAAGAACAAAGGAGAAAAATGTAACAGATCAAGAGGCTGCAAGAGACTTTCAAGTTAAGCAAGTTAGAGTTAGAAGCAGCGGGAGACATTTATTTGAGGGGCCAGTCCTATGAGGTTGATGGGGTCCACACAAACTTTACATTGTCCTCACTGCTGGGGACTGTGTGTGTGTCGTGAGCAGAGGGGTCCTATGGAACATCTCTTCACACCAGTCATGCATCTCAGGATGTATGATTAATGCACGTACATTTTCCAAACTTCTGAGTGATCTTGGATGCTCAACTTGAGACACCTTTAAGGGTCCCCAATTTTCAGAAAATGCTCAGTACCCACCTTTTAAAACTCAAAACCTTAAAAGGTATCTCAGGCTGGTCACCCAAAAGCACCAGGAACTTTGGAAAACTTAGGCCAGTGTCTATTTTTCTTTTCAAGAGAGAAAAGGATCTTTGTATCCAAACAATTGTTTTTAAGATGCATGCAAGAAACACCAACAGTAATTAGCACTGTTGAACTGTCAATGGATACTGTGTGCACTCCCAGACTGATGATACTGGCATCTGTGATCTCTTCCTGCAGGCCAGTGTCACATATTAACCCAGGTCCAGGCATGGCAAATCATTATTGTTATTTGTATTGCACCTGAAGTCCCGCTGGGGTAAGTACATAGACATAGTATGAGACAAACTGTGCCCGGAGGAGTTTATAGTGTAAACGAACAAGGGCACTTCCTTCTGGATATCCCCATTTTGCAGATGGCAAAAGTGAGGCACAGGGCAATCAAGGCCCACCTCCTCAAAGGTATTTAGGCTTCTAATATCCATTGATTTCAGGGCCTCAGAGATTTGCTCAATGCCACATGGTAAGTCAATATCAGAGCAGGAAACAGAATCCAAATTTCCTGAAGCCCCAGCTAGTACCAAAACCACAAGATCAGTCATCCTTTCCAGAGTGCTACACCAGGATCTGCATGCTAGAAACTAAACAGGAGAACCTTCCTCGTAGTAATTTATCTGAGCTGGGCCTTCCATATGCAGCTCAACCATTAACTGGGCTTGGCTCACAGAGAAAAACACTGACCCTGGGAATTTCCCTTCCTGTGAAAGTGGGATCAGGAGCTAGTAATAGTTGTAGAAAACTGTTCCTGCTGTTATCTTACTGGCCTTTCCTGTAAACTTCTTACCTTTTCTCATGAATGGAGACACAGTGTGGTCCATAGCCCAGGTTGGCATCATTTCATAGTTGACAGTAGGATTCTTCTTCATCTCCTGGAAGGAGGTATGGTGGAGGATTTTATTCACCACTTCCTCCTTCAGGTCCTTTCCCAGAAACTGGAGCACCTTCTCTATTTCGCGCTTTGGGTCCTGCAGAGAGACAGGCAGATAGACCCTCAGGTGGTGAGACATGATAAAAGATAATATATTACTGAGTAGAAGTTTTCCTAGCCACTCTTGGATGTGTTGGTAGAATGTGACAGATCTTTTTTGTATTCATTTGGGACCTAATCCAGAGACCAGTGGAGCAGACCTCTAATGAGCAAAGAGCAGCTCTTTTAATGAGTGATGCATCATAATAACAAATCATTTCTAGAGCCCAGAAAAACTTTTGAAAGAAAGGATCACCAAAGGCTTGCTATCCTGTACAACTAGCTTTCAACAAAACACTCCATTTACCAAGCGGGCTGCTACTTACGCACTAGTGTTCTCGAAGCAGAGGGTATAAGTTCATAGAATCAGTGAAGAGAGGAGGGGTAGGGAAAAAAATGTCAGGAGTCCATTGTAAATATTAAAAGTAAACTGCTTGAATTTGAGATCTCGCAAAAAGGGCATTAAATTAAGCTTCTAAAGTTCGAGCACTGATAGTCATATGAAATAGCTTCCCCTTTTAAAGACAGAGACAGAAGCTAGCTGAAACCTTTAAACAAAAAAGTCTCACCAGCCCTAAACTCTAACCTCAGCCAAACTGCAGCTCAGCTATACAATCTCTTGGATCCATCACTTATTGGTTTTAGACAATCAGCCACCACTACATACTTTTTTATTCTTTTGCGTGTGCATGTATTCCCCCCCCGCCCCCTTAAAACACCTTTCCATCTTGCTTTCTGTAGCCAGGAGGAAAAAGGGGCCCCTCACCAAAAAAACACCCAAAATCCAAAACAACCAAAGTTAGAACAAACCAACCAAGTAATATTAATCAGTTTCCTACTCTCCAATGAGAAGCTGCAGTGTGGCCTTCCCTGAAATGCTGCAGTCCTAGCACCAGGGTGTGTTGGGGAAAGGTATAAATAGTAGCCCTTAGAAATCCCCTGCCTCATATGACCTAAAGTGGAGTCTAGCAGCCCATGCCTAGTATTGTAGCCGCTTCTGGTTCCAGTAAGAACGCAACCCAAACCCCTTGCCTTAAGGTAAGAATAGCTAAAAGCATCTTTACACAAAGAAAATGACCAGCATAGCTATGCAAGTAAAAATCCCTGTATACACACTCCCATCCTAGCCTTTCCCCAAGATAAGCCTTAAGTGTCTACTTTTGAGAGAGAATGAAGCCAGCTCCGCAGTTTGCAGCCTGCAGTGGAGTGGTTTGTTTTCTTTCAAAGTTATATCCAACTCAAGGGCTTTAACACCCGTTAACAGATGTACCCCTTAGATTTCCCAATCCTCTGTGGCGGTTTGCTGAGTCACAACCAGCTTCAGCTGCCAAATAGATTTCAACTGCATTCCCCATGCACGGCACACTAAGGATGTAATTGTACAGCTGCAAGCAATCGAGCTCAGTGCAGGTGCACAGAGAGCTTCTGGTGGTATGTCAACTCTTCTACATATTTGCCTGGTTTTACACCAGGCTTCATAAAAAGCACTAGCCAAGTCCGTACAACCTAAAATTTCATACAGACAAAATGAGAAAGTACGCAATTTTTCAGTAATGGTGCACGGTGACACTTTTGTATTTTTATGTCTCATTTTGTAAGCAAGTAGTTTTTAAGTGAGGTGAAACTTGGGGTATGCAAGACAAATCAGACTCCTGAAAGTGAGTCCAGTAGTCTGGAAAGGTTGAAAACCACTGATCTAGAGCTCCTTATTTAGGTGTGTAAATAGGAACTGGGTTTTTCTGGAAATCTAGTTGCTGTTGTGGGGGGCACTTTTGAAACTTTTGCCTTACGTGACTCTGAAGCAGAATGGAACAGACCTAAAGCTCCCCTGACTTCCTTCCTGTGCTTACCAAAACTACCCTGTGTTCACCCTCAGAACTTCAGTGTGTAAAATCTATGACCATGTGTGTTCGTTGTGTTGCTGTCTGACTGAATGCAAAGATGTGAGACATGGGAATATTTAAGGATGGCTCAAATATGAATTAAAGATCCATTAGACTCCTAATAAATCACTGGCTCAGGCTAAGCCTGGTCCTCCTCCCTCTTTGTTAGTGCTCTGGGTGCAAAAGAGAATAGGCTGGGGAGGAATAACACTGTTAATTGATTTGCCTGGTAGGTGGTGAGGGCCAGCTGGTGGGAGCTCGCTAAGAGGGGCAGGATGTGTGTGTGTGGCAGGGGGCTTATTGTGTTACATAAAGGATGAGAGGAGGGTCCTGGTCCCTCCATCCCCTCCTAGTTCTACCTTCTCTTGGGGTTGAAAGGGGCACAAAAGGGAGTGTTTATGGACCAGACTAAAATCAGGTCTGGGGAAAAGGCCGGGGTCATTGCTTTCTAAACTAACGGGGCATGAGCCATCTAGCAGTTTAGGGATTGTTTACCATATTATTATAAGAAGGCAAGGGGTGGATTAAAATGAATCATGGTTTGGATCAGCTGAATCCACTGTTGTACCTCTGGGTGGCGGCTGTAGGCAGGAAGTTTGGGGCTGTGTACTCGCTGCCTTAGTTCGGCCTTGAACGTGGCTGGTTCCGGGATTGTTTTGTTAATATGCAAAGTATTTTCCCACTGGGTGTAGTAAAATAGGCGATTGCAGAACCACCCCACCACTCCTAACGATGCCAGTGTTGCAAACGGACATGCAGGAGAGGAAGGATGAATTTCTGGACTGGCACTCAGGAGATGTGGGTTAAACTCCTGGGTCTGTCACAGATTCCCTCTAGGCAAATCACTTAATCTGCCAGTATCTCAGTTCAACAGGAGTAACACTGCTACTCTCCCATCCGGGGTGTTGTGAGGCTACACTCATTAATGACTGGGACATGCTCAGATAGGACAATGAGGGGAGCCCTATATATACCTAGATAGATGTTAAAATCACCCTCCTTCCTTAGGGAAAGGGGGCATTTGGAGCAGGATCCCCTGGCATCTGCTCATCGCTCCCCCTTCCTCACCTTTTTCATGTCCTCATAGAACATGTACAGAATTCGATAGGCCTTTTTCTTCTCCCACCAGCCTTTGACGTGATCGTACCAGGATCCATAAGCCACTACATCCAGATTGAAACAAGCAACAAAGAGAAGGAGGAGAGAGATATCACAGCTCGTACTGGTTCTAAGAGTGTCACAGGGGACGTGAGCTGTTAGGTTATTATACCAGTCTCCCAGAAGAGTCTGGGAGCCCCGTTGCTTGGGACTTTTAAAACCAGGCTGGACAGAACAGTGGACTGTGTGCTATGTGCACTAATCCTGCACTGGGGCAGGGGGTGGATGGGATGAACTGCTGGTCCTTTTTCTTCAATAACCAGCTGGAATTTTTAAAGGCATTTTTAAAGGGTACATCTACACAGTGATTAAAAATCCAGGGCATTGAGTCTCAGAGCCTGGATCAGCTGCCTCAGGCTCATGGGGCTCAGGAAGCAGGGCTAAAAATAGCAGTGTAGACATTCAGGATCAGGCTGGAGCCCAGGCTCTGAGACCCTCCCCCTCGTGGGGTCTCAGAGCCTGAGCCCAGCTCGGGTTGCCAGTTTTACTTGGATGTATTCCTGGAGGTTTCATCACATGACATAATCTTTAATTCAAGATTAACCTTTAATTCCTGGAGACTCTCGGACAATCCTGGAGAGGTGGCAAGCCTAGCTCCAGAGAAAGCCCAAACATCCACATTGCAATTTTATAGACCTGCAGCCTGAGCCCGAGTGAACTGAGCTGGGCTCTTAGACTTGGGGCTGCAGGTTTTTTATTGCAGTGTAGATCTACCCGGAGGCACCATCTGATCTGCTGCTTTCTCCTCCCAACCCCTGCGTTCACACTGAGTTGAACCTATTTCTGTGGGGCAGGCAGGAGAAGATGGGCACGTTGAGTCCCCAGTATTGGTCAATGCCTCTGGACAGAGGGATAAGGTAGCTGAGAATGGTTTGGAGGGGAGGGGAGGGGGGGATTAAAAAGGTAACTAACCAGATATGTTACATGCTTGTTCTATGTTGTCTGGCCGGGTGTTTTGTCTAGTTAGATTGTGCCGTCTGGGGAGGAGCCATATCATTCTCTGTGTGTGCACGGTGCCTGTGTGGAGCTGTTGGGCCCCACTGCAATGCCAACATTAAATAATCATTATTATTTTGGCCTTAACAAGGCTTTGCAAACTTCTCTTCTAAGTAGCGTGTAAACATTCTGGTGGGTTTCGATTCTTGGCCCCAGACCAGAAACTGAAATGTTTGGGCTCTGCTCCTGAAGGGGAGGATTGTGAGGGCACCAAGTATAGTAAGAATTATTTCTGTTACAGCAGCCCTGTGGGATTCCCTCGTGTTAGGTACTGTACACACATAGTGAGAGATAGCCCCTGCCCCCAAGAGCTCACAATCTAAACAGATAAGACAAGGTGGTAGAGCAAATGGAGTCACAGAGCGGTGACTTGCCCGAGGTCACACAGGGAGGTGAACTGACTTGCCCAAGGTCACCCAGCAAGTCAGTGGCAGAGCTGGGACTAGAACCCAGGTCATCTCAGTCCTAGTCCTGTGCCCTATCCACTGAACCACATTGCCATGGCTTAAAGTTCACATACTGCCCTAAGGAACTCGCAGTCCTGTCAGGCTCTGAGGAGCCAGGGAAAGTCACTAACACTGGACCCTTTATAACGCAATTGAATAATATATCCCTGGATTCTTGCCCAGGGGGTGAAGGGACAATCTCTTTTCTGTTGTTTACGTTCTTATGCCACACCTGTTACTGTGGTTTCTGAGAGGTTACTCCTACCTTTCCCAGCCATGAACTTCCCCAGGAACTCATCCAAGGTGCCGGGGTCTGGATGCATCTTTGCCATCTGGTAGAAATGGTAATAAGAGACAGCCACATCCTTGGCATTTCGGGCAACATAGATCATCTGCAGGACAGAAAAGGGAACGTAGTGCAGTCTGAATTAGCAGGGGCTGCAGGGATTTTGACCTGACCCCCTGCATAGGTCTGGAAGAGATTTCCCCTGCTCCAGTACAAACACCATCACTGTACAACTGGCATATGAATTATGGGGAGGTTGCCTTTCTGAGGTGTCTGGCACTGGATGCTGCTGGAACCAGGAGGCAGGCGTAGTTGGGCTGAAAGATGACGATTCCTACATCGCTGCATCTCTCTGGGATGGCTGGAGCTGGTTACCTTGCAGTCCTGCTCCCAGAAAGAGACAGGGAGGAGCTGAACTGGGAGGTGGGTCTTCACTATCCGAGGCAATGGCGCTGTGGCCAGCTGTTCTGTGCCTGGAAAACACACAGGGGGTTAAAGGTTAAAGGAATCGTCTGGAGCACCTGGCACATCCTGAATGAACAGCCTGTGCTCACTGGAGAATGAGTCAGCACGTCCTGCCTCTTCCTTTCAGGATACCGAGAAAGAGGGAGGTGAGGCTAAATGCTCTCCCCACCCTAACTCTCCTGCTGCTGGCTGCCTTCTCACGCAGAACCACTGTTTTGTTTATTGCAGCCACCAGTCCAAATTTACCCCCTCTCTTTAAAACCCTCCATGGGCCCACTTCAGCTTGTCTCTTGGACCTTGCCTGTCCCTCTGCTCATTTAGCTCTGGTTTCCGCTGTGACATGCCAAACAATCCTGCAACTGCTGGTGCAGATTCACCCTCTTGGCAACTGCTGCTGTCTAGAATGACTTTCCTGCATCTCTCTGCCTCATTCAAGAGGGCCTCTCTCATTTCGGATCTCATCCTCGCTGATAACTCTTTAGTTAAGCACTGGAACAGGTCACCAAGGGAGGTCGTCAAATCCCCACCTTTGGAGGTTTTAAGAACAAGTTAGACAAAGACCTATCAAGGATGATTTTGGTATACTTGGTCCTGCCTCTGCACAGGGAGATGGACTAGAAGGCCTCTCAAAGTGCCTTCCAGCCCGACATTTCTAAGATTAGTAGCAGCAAAAGGAAAAATAAATTATGATTATTTATTTAGCATTGCCCGTGCTTTACAGACATGACAGGGTCTCTGAGCCTAAGAGCTTACAGTCTAGCTAAACATGGGTAGGGACTTGGGCTAGGGTGGGCAACAAAAGCAGCGTAATTGTCCCTTTCTCCATTTAAACTTTTCACCTGAGAATCACAGTGAGAGAGCTAAAAGAAAAGGAGTACTTGTGGCACCTTAGAGACTAACCAATTTATTTGAGCATGAGCTTTCGTGAGCTACAGCTCACTTCAAGAGCTGCTTTCTTTTGACATGGAACAAGGAACTCCACCAGAATAAGATAAACCTAAGGCTTTGTCCCTAATGCTGCTCTGTTTCACTCTAGAGTTTCTGGCTTCCAGCTACAGATTCAAAGAAGCAGAACAAAAAGCACACACTAGTGCCACAACATTTTTCTACTGATTTTGTTTTCCTGTGATGAGGAGCAGGATTAATAAGCAGGAAACAAATGAGCTTTAAGGCAGGCTTTGGAGGAGAAATGGGATGATGTGATGCTGACCGGGTCAGGGAAGGTGTCCCTGGCTCTGTAATGGCGTGTTTAACCCTGTAAAGCATGTTGGTGTACAGTTTGTACAAAGACACTATAAAACCAGCTGCACTGTTGTAAAGGTTGAATTACATACAGCATTAGAATCAGTCTAGAGACAGCATTCTCCTCCTTCCATGGCTCCTGTGGGAGGGGGCTCTTGCATTTGTCTGATCTCCTGTACAACGCTTACCACTTAGGAGTCCAGGGAAGCTCATTTCCATGAAAGGGACTCGATTGAAAATTGCATCCCGTTTACATTTCTCCTCATCCCCATCATTGTAAATCATGTCCACGATTTCACTAATCCAGGTTGTGCCTGGAACGTAGATTGAAAGGAGCATTTCAGAGGTAAGTGTATTCTGTCTCCTACTGGTGGATGGATATAAAGTTAGGTGACCCTCTCCCCACCCCCCACCCCCATTTAAATACACTCTTATTTTTACTTGCCTGATTTTGGGTAGGTGGAAATGAGAAGGTCATCTGGTCTGGCCTGGAATGATTCCACCTGAGCCCAGTTCTCCACAAAATGCCGGTAGAGGGGAATTTCATGGATAACCTCTAATTCCTGCCTTGACAAATGTTCCATCTTGGGAGGGCTGAGTTAAGGTGAGGAAAAAAGGGGTTAAATGGCTCTCATTATTTGCATGATAACTGTATGGAAGACATCCCTACACATCATGGAACTAACACTGGTTTCCAAGAGGTGGGGGTGGAAGAAGTAGAATTCTGTTGTTCTTGATTTCTGTAGTCTCTCTTTACATGAATCAATATACTTTGCAATTTCTAAACAAAAAAAGCCAACCAAACAAAAAAAACCCACAAAAAGCTTTGTTAAAGAAGAGTTACCATTGGATTTGTTCCACTGGAGCCCAGTGTAGCCTTTTATTTTATTTAAATTTTGTAACGTGGTATTACACTACCGTGAGTTCAGCTCTGGCGGCTACAGTTTCAAGCTTAACGGTGAAAGTCACCTCTGCTACTTGCTTTAGATTTAGAGTCTCTAGGGCAGTAGTGGGCAACCTACGGACCATAGACCACATGGGGCCTCTCGGGGTAATCCATTAGCGGGCTGCGAGACCGTGTTTACATTGAGTGTGCACAGGCACAGCTGCCCGCAGCTCCCAGTGGCTGCGGTTCGCCATTCCCAACCAGTGGGAGCTGCGGGAAGCGGTGCAGGCTGCAGGGACGTGCTGGCTGCCACTTCCCGCAGCTCCCATTGGCGGGGAACGGGGAACCGCGGCTACTGGCCGTGCCTGTGGATGGTCAATGTAAACACTGTCTCACAGCCCACCAGCAGATTACCCTGATGGGCTGCGTGCGGCCCATGGGCCACAGGTTGCCCACCATTGCTCTAGGGACGCATAAAGACCAAGGGTAGCGACCACACAGACATTCACAAGTACAAGGTCTAGTCTGTTTTACAAGTTTTATTAAAGTTACAAATAAAGTTATGATTACCCAAGCATATAGAAATTCTATACAGACCTATGCACTAGTTAGAAATATAGCGCTACTCACATCCTTAACAATAGTGTTAGGGTCTGATGGGTCTCTCATGGATTGATCATCAGTAGAGGGATGGTTCCTGCTGGAGTTTCCCATAGGGAGCTCAATTTTCCTAGTCTAGGCAGCCCCTTTTTTATAATGTGATTCTGACTATACGTCATTAGCATTTCTGCACATAGCACACTCTGTGGTTAGGGCATGTGTTAGAAAAATGTGATTACCAGGTATCTTGTAAGTAAAATATTACTTTTACTGTTAATTTTTTGCAATATCACCCATTGGTATATCTTTTCCAGTAATCTTAGGGCATCAGGTTATTCTTTGGTCACTTACTTATATCAGCATTCCTTAACTCTATGGCTTACGTGTAGCTAAGCTAAAATCTTGCAGGCCTTAGCCCAGAGGCCTTGCATTTCAACCCCGCTTACTTAGATACCTAATACATGAGAATTCCCTCTACATACTGATCAATCTTAAACTTCTGTAATCCTACAATATAACTCTATTTAGCATACAATGATTATATATAACATAACATGTTAGTTAATTATAACATCACACAATTAATGAACAATCAACTAAAATCATTGGCTACACCAGCTAATGCCCCAGAGCAATATTACTTGTGCTTTGCAAAAATCCAGACTCTTTAAAACAACAGGCACGTTCACGTTGCTAGAAAGGAACAGCTTGTTTCCTTGCTACCATATAATATTTCGTCATTCATTATCACCCCCCCAACCTGCAACTCTCACCCAGTATTAACTGTCTCCTGGGTTTCCTGCATAATGGAACTCTGCTATTTGATATACTCCTGATTTTATATAGTGTTTCTTAAACAGGCAAGATGGTCCAGCAGTTAGGGTTCTGGCTGAGACTTGGGAGACCTGGGTTTAATTCTCTGCCACACACTTCCTGTGTGATCTCAAGCAACTCACTTAGTCGCTGTTGTGCCTCAGTTCCCTATCTGTAAAATTAGGATAATAGTGCTGTCCTACCTCACAAGGTGTTAGATTGAAAGGTGCTCAGATCCTACGGTAATGAGGTCCATATAAGTATTCAGCTAGAAAATGTGAGTATGGTTTTGTAAGGATTATGGTTTTAGGGTACATTAGATTATGAGGAAATGTATAGAATTCTGACAGTGTGGTGTGTGAGTGGATCAGAAGAATATTTATAATGCATAGAATTTGAATGAGTGATCTGATTGTTATGAAATGTTAATTATATAGTATTGTAGGGGTAGGTAGGCATAGGCACATTTCTCTCATGATGCAAATAGCATGCATTTTAAGTGGTTAATGCAAAATGCTTGGGTTATAATATGTTGAAATGAATCCTTGGAATAGAAGATAGGCTGTTAGAAATGGAATCCTCACAGCATCGTCTTTGTGTCCTGAGTAAAACTTTCAGGAGCATCATGCAGCTAAAACCCAGTTTAAAAATGTTACACTTGTGAAATGAATGTTAGCACTGTGTGTTCCCACCCAGTCTTCATTACTACAAAATCAAGCATTCATGCCAATCAGCTTTCGCCATAGCACAAGGAAAACGAGTTAATAGACACAAATGGGCTTGTCAGAAATAAGACTGAACTTCAGAACCCAAAGTTGCAATGTATGCAAATGATAAACAGTGTATACAGAAGTGAGCTGTAGCTTACGAAAGCTTATGCTCAAATAAATTGGTTAGTCTCTAAGGTGCCACAAGTACTCCTTTTCTTTTTGCGAATACAGACTAACACGGCTGCTACTCTGAAACCAGTGTATACCTAAATTAATTGATTCTCTTTCTGTTGACCCTGGTGTAAATCAATAGGGCAAATGTTGTAACCATCCTAATTACTTCCTCCTTACTGTTAGCCAGTAAAATCTATGGGGCAGATCCTGGGCTGGTGTAAATCAGGGTAACTCCATTGAAGTCAGTGGGTTAGATTCTCAATGGAGCTATGGTGATCAACACCAGTTAAGGATTTGGCCCAATCTTCTTTTGTTAAAACCACTGATGCAAAATCCCCACAAGGGACCCAGTTTCCTTGTTTTAACTGGACCACAACATTAGCAATTTTATGGAACCTCAGTCAAGCAAAAGCTATCTGGAATGGACAAGATTAAACACATAAAATATATTTTCAGCCTGTAGGAGCTTTAATTACGGAAAGGCAAAGTGATGCTATGGCAATATAAACTCCGGTAAGATACTCTTGAGCGTCTTTCTCAGTAGAATGTTGTTTGATTAAAAAATTAAATTTAAACTTTTGATATCACCAATAAAGTCTTCTTTTAATCCTGGGCATCTCGGGTATTTTGAGATTCCAGACGAGCAAGGAGAGGCTGGAATGCTGTATTTTTCACATCATTCTTGCAGGCGTAATCTAATCAGAGGACCTTCCTCTAAATCCCAAAGCTTTCACCAGAAAACAACAAAAAATGCCTTCTGTAGGGATAATTCCCCAGGCTCTCCCCTCCACATTGCTCCTGAAAGGATGTGTGGTAAGACCCAGTATCTTTCTCAGAATAACAGATTATATGACATTTCTACCTTTTAGGCACCATATCTCTGCTCCATCTGAAATATGAGACTGAATTTTAGACTGGAAGACTTTAAGGGCCCAATCCAAAATCCACTAACTTGATGGGATTCTTTCCATTGATTTCACTGGGCTTTGGATCAGGCCATAATGGCATGATGAACCAGATTGCCCCTTGAAGTTGTAGCAAATTTAAGGGGTCCCTGTGTTGCTATCATAGTGTTATGTTTCAGTTGGGAAAAACAATTCTTCCATTTCCCAGGGAGGTGAATTGTCAGGCCTGAATACGTAAAACCTGTCTAACAACGTTACAAATGAGCTAGCTTCTTTTTGTCTCTGTCCATCTTTCACTCCATTTTTATGGTGGTAATGCACATATGAAGGAAGTGTTGCAGACCCCAGAGAGAGCAAATTGCAGAGTTTTAAATCCCTGAAAAGCAGATGTATACAATATGTTAGAAGTAGATCTTACCTTGCTCTCTTTGTAGAGGATATCTCTTGCTTTCAGCCTAGCTTCACCTCTCTCCCACATAAACCCAAGTAATTGCAGTTTTATTATTGCTAATTAGCAACTTAAGATATGCTGAATTGTGCAGCCTGGGTTAGAAGAGCAGAAAACCTCTCTAATGTTGAAGGAATTAACCCAGAGTAATCTTAGACTTCCTGCTTGTCTGTTTTCCTTGTGTTGTTCATTTTTGACCTTTGCACAGTGTTATCAACCCCAGGCATTCAAAAATCATGACTCAGGCCCCCAGAATAATCAGCCTGGCTTTAAAATCATATTTTAAGAAAACTGGAATCTGTCTATTTGCCTTCTGGTTTTTTTTAACATTTTGGGTCCACTCAGAAAATGCTTTCAAGCTATTCCCTACAATCATGAGAGCTAGAAACTTTTTTTAAAAAATGAAAACAGAGAGTACATAACTCCTGGAAATGTCACATATTGCACAACTCATGATAAAACTACAAGAGTTGACAACACTGTACATCCCAAACAGATGTAAAAGGGTGTTTCCCCAATGCAACACTGTGTACTGTAATATCAAAACTAGTGTGGTATTCAGTAACAGCTGCAGGTACCGCCAAGAGAGGGGTCTCAGGAAAGCTACGAGCATTTCCAGTTCAAGCAGGCTGAGTGATTCTTGGACTGGAAGCTACCCCACATGGGGAGAAGTGATACACACACACTCCCGTACACCTCTCTCTCACAGGGAGGGTGACTGACTGACCTGACCCTCCCTGCCTGGTGCTCTCTGTCCTCCATGCCTGGCTGGGCCCCCAGGATGGACCCGCCTCTCCTAGTATCTGGTGCCACATCTTCCCAAGACAACAGGTGGCAGGACGGGGGGGGGGGGCATGCAAAGTCACATGCCCCCTCCTCCCTCCCAGATTTCTGCCAGAGCTCATACCAGAATGTGGCCAGCAGCAGCCTTTCAACACTGTGTGGGAGGGAAGGTATGGGAGCTGCTTCCAGCCACGAGGAGTGGGGCCGGGGAGGGATGACCTGCCCATGTCTTTGCAGAGGTCATCTCTTCCCTCACCCTCTGCTCCCCTGGGGCTGGAAGCAGCTGGTCCCTTCCTGCCCCACAGTGTTGAAAGGCAGCTAACACCCACAAGCTGCTGCTGGTCACCGACATAACCCAACCACCTCCTGTCCCCTGGCTACAGCGCAGGTAGGGAGGGATTAAGCCCTAAGGATGCATTGTGCACCAGGGCCCAGGAAACCTGACTGTAGGGGCTTCATGGAACCCGACTAGAGAGATGGCTCAGCAGGGGAGGGTGCCTAGGGGATGCAGCAGCCCCGCACTCCCTGGAGGCAGGACCCAAGCCGTCGGGGGGGGGGGGAGGGGGTTAAAGGGGTGCTAAGCTAAGTCCCTGCTCGGGGGTGGGGGGCTGCTGTGGAGCCTGCAGGTTCAGAGTGTGAACAGGCTGGATATCGTTTCCCCCACCACGCCAGAGTTTAGCTGAGGGGCAGAGAGGCTTCCCCAGTGTGCGGAGCTTTGGTACACGCAGGGCTCGGCTCCTCCTGGCCAGCGCCCAGGGCCAGAGGATCTTGGGCTTTCCCAGGGCACCGGCCCAGCCAGAGGCAGTGGGGGAAGAAAGGAGCCTGCTGGCCAGGCTGCTGGTAAACTGAGTACTCCAACTGGGGGCAGATTCTCTGCACAGCACTGGGAGCAGGACGCGCCCCACCCGGCGGGATGTAAAGGAGCAGTGGGGCTGGGGAAGGGGCAAAGCAGGGAGAGGACAGCGAGAGGGGGATCACATAAAGGGCCAATAGGTGGGCAGCAGAGGTGACATGTAACCGGACGCCGCCTGTTTCCTGCCCATACTCACCCACCACAGCAGCGTGCAGCCCAAGCCAGCTGGAAACTGGGACAGGGCCCTGCTGGCTGAGAGCCGGCATGCAGCAGGGGCTGCGCTGAGGGACCAGCATAGGGAGTGGCCAGCCCCATGTGCTGCAGCTTTGTCCCTCCACCAGCCTTGCACACCCACCCCCATCGTTGGCCACGGGACCCTCCCACTCAATGCTGGTAGGCAGGCAGCTGGCGAGCAGGGATCCGGCCAGCAGCAGGACCCGCAAGTGTTGATGTGGGGGAGACAGAAAATATGGGACAGTTTGGCCATATTTAAGAAAAAGTCGGGACACCTGCAGTAAGGCTTAAATATGGGACTGTCCCTTTAAAAACGGGATGTCTGGTCACCCTAAGTCTGAGTATCAGCTGAGCCTGTGTACAGCTGAGCAGATCACAATTTTCAAGGGCTTGCGCAGTGCACACAAAATGGATCAGACACACTCCCTTTTCTCCCCAGGTTCCTTAGGTGATCCAGCCCACCTTTCAGAGAAGCAAAAGTAAACAATCTGAATGACAACGCAAATGTATCCCACACTCTCTCGGCCTTTGCAGTATAATACCTGGATATCAGAGGGCTTCCACGGGTTTTACTTCAGGGGAACCCCTGCTCCTTATGTCTTAGAGTTGATCCTTCTGCGAGAGCTCTGAGTTTCTTCAGTCCCAAGTCTCTGTTTTTCCCGCTTTTAGGCCTCAACAAGTTAAGAAACTACTGACTTTTCACTTCCTGGTTCCACCCTGGACTATGTTTAAAGGGCTAATGACTAAATAAAACAAGCTGGTCTCGACATGTTCCCACTTGTCCTTTGGCTCTCAGCTCCCATGAAGTACCTGTAGTTTCTCTGTCAGGTTCTAGCGTGGCATTGTGCAGCATATGTATCTCCTTCATTCAGTCTTGTCAAGGATGTTTTCTTGTGTCCTTTGTGTTGCACACAATCCTGGCCCAGAAGGAAATGAGGAGAGAGGGAATCTGAATAAAGGAGACAGCAGTGGGGCCTAAAGAGGGTGGTGTTTCTAAAAGATCAGCTGTAATTCAACCAGAAGTTTCAGCCCTGATGCAGGAGTGACTGGATAGAATTCTACAGGAGGGCCAGACGAGATGAATGTAATATAGTCCCTTCTGGCTTTAAAATCTATGACTCTAGAGCTATGAGATGGAGGGGGGTGACTCTGCTGGAAGGATATTCGCAGACACCCATCAGTGACTTGTGTAAACTCCATACACACAGCTGGCCATGAAATGGCATGAATCTCCCTGGTGATTAGACACATCCTTTGAGAGAATGAGTGCATCCCTCATGAGCCCCCATAGTCTCTGACCCCTGCCATACAAAGGGGGGGGCCTGGGCAGCTCCTCCCAGCAGGTCACAGGGAGGTGAAGAGAGTGAATGGGTTGTATTTAATACAGGTGTGATAAGGCTGAAGATTCTCCTCCACTCCTCTTGGCCCTTAGGCTTGTTTCCAGTGGCTTGTGCTAGTCCTCTCCACTGGGGTGAATTGCACCTGGGCAGAGGATATGCACTACCTGGCAGGAGTGCTTCCTGCAGCTCTTCCCTCCCACCTCCCCCAGTGTCTCTTGAATGTAGGAAGAGCCTGTTCCCACTGAGCAGGAAAACCCTGCTGCGGTCTAGCCTCTCTTTATAGGGACACTCTGTACCAGGAACACTTTACACTGGGCTGCTCTTGAGGTCCAAACAGGGCCCCATAACATGGGGAGAGAAGTCCCTGAGAAGGCAATGGTCTGTTTACTTGCAGTACATAATGTAGCCACTAGATGTCTCTGCATGCTGAGTAGAGCTCCAGATGGTGGGAACGAGGATTCCCTGTGGCACTTTAGAGACTTAACAAATTTATTTGGGCATAAGCTTTCGTGGAATAAAACCCACTTCATCAGATGCATGGAGTGGAAAATACAGTAGAGAGGTATAAATACACAGCATATGAAAAGATGGGAGTTGCTTTACCTAGTGTGGGGTCAGTGCTAACGAGCCAATTCAATTAAGGTGGAAGTGGGCTATTCTCAACAGTTGACAAGAAGGGGTGCAAATCACTTTTGTAGTGCTAATGAGGCCAGTGTAATCAAGGTGACCCATTTCAAACAGCTGACAAGAAGGTGTGAGTATCAGCAGGGGAAAATTAGTTTTTGTAGTGACCCATCCACTCCCAGTCTTTATTCAGGCCTAATTTGATGGTGTCCAGTTTGTAAATTAATTCCAGTTCTGCCGTTTCTCATTGGAGTCTGTTTTTGAAGTTTTTTTGTTGAAGAATTGCCACTTTTAAGTCTCTTATTGAGGGTCCAGGCAGATTGAAGTGTTCTCCTACTGGTTTTTGTATGTTATAATTCTTGATGTCAGATTTGTGTCCATTTATTCTTTTGCATAGAGACTGTCCGGTTTGGCCAATGTACATGGCAGAGGGGCATTGCTGGCACATGATGGCATATATCACATTGGTAGATGCGCAGGTGAACAAGCCCCTGATAGTGTGGCTGATGTGGTTAGGTCCTATGATGGCGTCCCTTGAACAGATATGCGGACAGAGTTGGCACCAGGGTTTGTTGCAGGGTTTGGTTCCTGAGTTAGTGTTTTTGTTGCGTGGAGTGTAGTTGCTGGTGAGTATTTGGTTCAGGTTGGGGGGGCTGTCTGGGTGACTGGTACCCAGGAGGCAAAGCTAGGGACAGGCTACCTGACTGACTGTGTCTGTTGTTGTGTTCCTTGGTAGATGCCTGCTGGCTAAGGCAGACTGACTCTGCGTGCTGTGACATGAGAAAGCAGGCTGGGAAAGGGAGAATGGCTCCCAACAAGGGTGGAAGTTTTGCCCAAATCACGATTTACCACAGGCAGGAGTCGCATCGTCATAGCCCTGCCTCCTACTCCCTGGAAACCCTCCTTTCCACAGAGCACAACACCCTTACCTGGAGACACCCTTTGGGGCTGGCTGGAGATCCCACCATCCATACACACACACACCCCATTTCTGGGCACTTCTCAACACAAAGGCTAATCTCAGCTCTTTGAGAGAGAGGCTCAGATTCTAGTCCTTTTCTGCCTCCTGCTAGCCTTGAAAGTGGGACATGGATACAATTGTCGGGGTTGGAAGTGTGTCACTGTGATTCTTCTTGCGGCTGGCAGGCTAGTCTCAGCCATCCTGGACCAGCCTCTGGAAATGCATGTGGACCCAAGTCTGGGTAGCCCACGAAGGGGAGTTCTTAATCCCCCTTGGGGTCCCCTAGGTCCCATTGCTAGCTAGCTGTGAATGAACAGCATCTAAGAACAGTTCCCCTCCCTGCCTAGAGCACACATGGCAACGCCTGGGCAGGGGCACTGTAGCAGTTTGCTTTGCTGTGGGACAAAGATGGAGGTGAGGTGCCCACACTCCTGGGATCTCTGTTTGACTCCTCACCCCCCTGCTGTGTGATTCCTGCTGTGTTCCCTTCCCCTTCAGGGCTTGACAGGAGGAGATATGTGAGCCTGCCAGCTCCTTGCCCCTGGCTCTCTCTGCCTAGACTGACAGCTGCATCTCCAGCTGCACATGCTTCTCAGTTCTGCCAGGTGTCCTCATGGCATGCTCTGGACTTGTGCATAAAGGACCCAATCAAAATATCTGCCCTGGAGCTGTTCCTTTCAATGGCCGGGAGAGTTGCAATGTAGAGCTCAGCTGGGACAGCAGTGAGCCCTGGTGGAGACAGGAGGTGGGTGCTAGCAGCGGGAAGAAATTCTTTAGCTGCCTGGAGTGGCTCATAGCCTCTTTAGACATGAGCCAAAGTCCTGGAGCTTGCGCTGAATGAGGGAGAGCTGGCAAGACTAAGTGTGTCTCGTGCTTCACAAATCGTTGGGCTCTGGAAGGGGGCTGCCTGCATTTGCGACTTTGTTTTGTTTTAATATGGGCATTCTTACTAAAGAGAGCACCTGCTGGGGGTGTTTTGTCTTTCCTTGTTTTAGCCAACTCTCCCATTCCAAAACTGAGCCTCTGACCATGGCTCCGAGGTGACACTGACAGGATTTCAGCCTTGTGGCTACCTAGGGCCACAGTGGGAGTTGCTGGGCCCTCCGAACATCTAGCCACTTCAGTTAGGTGGCCAATGGGAGCTGAGCTCTTTGGAAAATTGGACCCAGGGGCTTTAAGAGGGAGACTCCCAAAGTGCCTCACTCCTCTTTGGGCCTTTGAAAATCTCACCCCTAAATGCTGTCTGTAAACTGACAGTGACATACCTATAAACAAAGGAAACAGGTTTATAAAAGGTGACCAGTATGACATTGTAATGGACTCTTTGGCTCCTTTGTGATCTTTAGAGAAGCCCTAACAGGTTTATTAGTTTTGTTTGTGATACCTCCAGACCCCATTGTGCTAGGTGCTGTACAAACACATTGGAAGACACACATCCCTCTCCTGAGAGTTCATAATCTAGGTAGACAAAGGGTGGAAGAAAGAAGGATTGTTTTTACAGAAGGGTCATTGAGGCTCAGAGAGTCTAAGGTCTTGTCTATAAATGAGGAACAGTTTCTAAAAAATTCTAGAGCAAGCCTAATAAGTGTTCAAAGCTACTGTGGCTGCGAGAGGCTTGTCTAGGCTTTGTTTTATCTACACTAGGGCTCCCATTGTTGGTGATAGCAACCGTGGAAAATATTTAGAAAGTTCTCCTACTATAGACAAGGCTTAAGAGACTTGCCCAAGGTCACAGGAAGTCTGTGGCAGAGCCTTGACCATATGACCATCCTTTCTAACTGGTTGGTTGGGTTCTTTGTGTTTTCTTTTCTTCTTCTTCTTTCTTTTTAACCTTAGGATTGTTAACTGCATGTGCCCTGGCTTTGCTGGCAGACTCCTTGGAGGTCTGAGAGTATGGTGGAAGGTTTCTCTTCATGAGATATTTCTTATCCTTTATGGAAGAGAGGGGGATGTTGAATCTTCAGTAAAGACCTCTTTCCTCCCAGGTGTGGGTCAGGCATTTCCTCTGGTTCAATATTAATAGCCAAGCAGAACAATCGGACAAAAAATCCCGTCTCCTCCCAAACGTCCAGCTTTCATTCTCCAGTCCAGCCATGTGGTAACCCAGCTCATTCTCTGCTCTCCAAGGCATACATGGTTAAAGTAAAAAACAAGCAGGAGAAAAAAGCCTCTTTCATGCACCAAAACGAATCAGATCAGGGAAATGACCCCTATTTTCCCCCCTTCACAGGTCATTTGAAAGCAGGGGCGGGCAAACTTTGGATCTGGCCCGCGGGATCGCCCCCCGTCGTGCCATAGGCCCCGTGCCGCTCTCAGAAGTGGCGGGCACCACATCCCTGGGGCCCCGGGGGAGGGGGAGGGGGAGGGGCAGAGGGCTCCGTGCGTTGCCATTGCTGCCAGACACCGCCCCCTGCAGCTCCCATTGGCTGGGAACCGGGAACCGCGGCCTATGGGAGCTTCGGGGGTACTGGAGGCTTGGCAAGGGCAGCACGCAGAGCCCTGTGCGCCTCCCCCCCTCCCCAGGGGCCACGTGGGGACATGGTGCCGCTGCCACCCTGGAGTCGCTGTAGGTAAGCGGCGCTGGGCTGGAGCCCGAACCCCTCCTGCACCCAGCCCCCCAACTCCCTGCCCGCACCTCGCACCCCTCCTACACCCCAACTCCCTGCCCTGAGCCCCCTGCTGCACCCTGCACCCCCATATACCGCTGCCCTGAGCCCCCTGCTGCACCCTGCACCCCCGTGCACCCCAACTCCCTGCCCTGAGCTCCCTCCCGCAGTCCACACCCCTCCTGCACCCCTGCCCTGAGCCCCCTCCTGCACTCTGAACCCCCCTGCATCCCAAC